TTTCTCCAACAACCAAACTTTTGCATCAACTCAGCTGCCGTTAACATCGACCCAGGGAAAAAAAGAGAGAAAATCACTGAGCTGCTTACCTCCCCTGTCTCCTCAAACCTCTTCCTGTCGGAGCTGTCAATGACGTAGATCTGAAAGGACAGGAAACAAATTTCATCACGGCATCCAAAACTTCCCCGGAATGGAAAGAAGGAGAAGCTAATACTTGAAACCTTCACTGAAGGTCAAAATTGTGGAGACTTTCTTGGAATATCCTGGGTAGTTTTTGTCACGGCTGTATATGGCCACACATTAGAAAAAGATGAATACTTGAAAAGAAGAGGACAACACACAGCCGCTCTGTTGCCTACCTGCCGGTGAACTGACTTTATTGGGTTTATTTTAAACTGCAATCTCGTGTGAATTCAAAACGAGACAAAATGTGACGTATCAAGAAGGGGAAATAATTGTGATATAATGGAAGAATCGTTACTTCAACATTCACAATACAGTTCATTCCCATTTTTACATTTCATAATATCAGTCCCACATTACAGTAGTGAGTGCTATCAGACTGTGCATGGGGCTTTAGTTGTAACGTTTTCGGAAAAGATACAACCAGCCTCTGTCTTGTGAGCTTGGAGTGAGCGTGACGGGCCAGTCAGCTAGTTCCACACTTTCCCATCTCAGCGAAATAGGAGGACAAAATACAATGTTCCATTGTTACCCTTCTACTTTCTTCAACTCTATTCCCTTCTGATAGTTTTCATGTTGTGTGTGCCTAACTTGGTCAACATCTCATGGCCTTATTTCACCAACCTCAGACTCCCCACCAACAGTCTGAGCCAGGAATTCCCAGAATTTTTTCCAAGACCCACAGCCAAAGAATCAAGGCTGTAATCCTAGAAATAATAATAATGATATAAAATTGATCTAGCGCTCAGCCCAGATTAAAAATGACAGGCTCTGCACACTTGACACCAGTAATGACACATAAACACCACATAATGTTCTCACTTGACACACACAAACACCACATAATGTTCTCACTTGACACACACAAACACCACATAATGTTCTCACTTGACACAGACAAACACCACATAATGTTCTCACTTGACACACACAAACACCACATAATGTTCTCACTGGAAATCTACGTACATCCATTACATCTTGAATCAGAAATGGTTTGAGCGGACTTTTAAATGCATTGAAAGATTTCACCTTTCTTGAAATACCAGGCAGTGCTTTTCACATCTTGGGGCCATGACATGAAAATGTCCTTTTGCAGACTTTTTAAAGTTTCACTGATGGTATAAGGTAATTTGTTTTTGTCTATCGATGACCTTGAACTGCCAGCCGGAATGTACAGCTGAACATGCATTTTCCTACTCACCAAAAGGTCAGTGTTCTCAAAGTAGTTTTTCCAATAGGGTCGGATCCTCCTCTGCCCCCCGATGTCCCACACGTTGAGCTTGAAGCCTTTGGATTGCACCGACTTGATGTTGAAACCCTGGAACAAAAAGCTCAGCCTGCTAGAAACAACTCGCAGTCACAAGAAACAAGAAAAACTGCATAGGAGAAAGTCAAAGTCTAGCGGACTAGCAAAACCTGACAGATACACGAACAAACATTTCACTACCCACACGGCACACTAGAACACTCTAAACACACACAATGGCCCGACAATGCATCATTCTCTTTATTCCTTCCCATTAATTGCTCTGTTTTTTCTACAACACCTATGAATAGACTAGAGTCTCTGGACAAGTCCTAACGTCAATACAGTTTACATCTATAAATAGTGACAATATAATCCATCACAGCCCATCCAGACACAGTGGCGTACAGCGAGATAGTAAACAGACAAACATGTTATATCCACCAGGCAGACACAGTGGCGTACAGCGAGATAGTAAACAGACAAACATATGTTATATCCACCAGGCAGACAGAATGGTGTACAGCGAGATAGTAAACAGACAAACATGTTATATCCACCAGGCAGACACAGTGGCGTACAGCGAGATAGTAAACAGACAAACATATGCTATATCCACCAGGCAGACACAGTGGCGTACAGCGAGATAGTAAACAGACAAACATATGTTATATCCACCAGGCAGACACAGTGGCGTACAGCGAGATAGTAAACAGACAAACATATGTTATATCCACCAGGCAGACACAGATATTCTCTATATGTGAGGCACCGTGGTGAAATCAGGCGTCGTCCAAATAATGAGATCCCAGAAATTGGCATTTTTCAGCCAGTTTGGACATTTTTTCAAATTTGTTTTTTGGGACTCAACACATTGTATGTCCATTCAAAAACACTTTTATATGTGGATTTTATGGAAAAACGTTGATCAAAGGCACAACAAATTTAAATTTGCAGTTTTCAAGGACTCTTAAGCAATGGAAGTCACCAAACTATGGTAGCAATTTTCTCGCTAATTTCACATCTGAAACCAGACGACCCCACCTCCTTCAATCGCGAATACCCCAACTTCAATTCAAGATAAACGGATATTTTTATCATTGAAAGCAAGGCAAATGAACAAGCTTTAAGATGACACCAATAACTCCATATGCCCGAAAATTGACTAGCGCCTGATTCCACTGCGTCTTGACACATATAATCCCAATAGATAAACAGAGATATTCTATATATAACCCCAATAGATAGACAGAGATATTCTATATATAACCCCAATAGATAGACAGAAATATTCTATATATAACCCCAATAGATAGACAGAGACATATATATAACCCCAATAGATAGACAGAGATATTCTATATATAACCCCAATAGATAGACAGAGATATTCTATATATAATCCCAATAGATAGACAGAGACATATATATAACCCCAACAGATAGACAGAGATATTCTATATATAACCCCAATAGATAGACAGAGACATTCTATATATAATCCCAATAGATAGACAGAGATATTCTATATATAACCCCAATAGATAGACAGAGACATATATATAACCCCAATAGATAGACAGAGATATTCTATATATAATCCCAATAGATAGACAGAGATATTCTATATATAATCCCAATAGATAGACAGAGATATTCTATATATAACCCCAATAGATAGACAGAGACATATATATAACCCCAATAGATAGACAGAGATATTCTATGTATAACCCCAATAGATAGACAGAGACATATATATAATCCCAATAGATAGACAGAGATATTCTATATATAACCCCAATAGATAGACCGAGACATATATATAACCCCAATAGATAGACAGAGATATTCTATATATAATCCCAATAGATAGACAGAGACATATATATAACCCCAATAGATAGACAGAGATATTCTATATATAACCCCAATAGATAGACAGAAATATTCTATATATAACCCCAATAGATAGACAGATATTCTATATATAATCCCAATAGATAGACAGAGACATATATATATAATCCCAATAGATAGACAGAGATATTCTATATATAACCCCAATAGATAGACAGAGACACATATATAACCCCATTAGATAGACAGAGATATTCTATATATATAACCCCAATAGATAGACAGAGATATTCTATATATAATCCCAATAGATAGACAGAGACATATATAAAACCCCAATAGATAGACAGAGACATATATATAACCCCAATAGATAGACAGATATATTCTATATATAACCCCAATAGATAGACAGAGACATATATATAACCCCAATAGATAGACAGAGATATTCTATATATAACCCCAATAGATAGACAGAGACATATATATAAGGCCGGCACTATTTCTCCGAACGTTCGGGAAAATATAGCTGGGCACTATTTCTCCGAACACTCTGAAATCACACCCTTTCCCGCATATTTCGGATAATAAAAATAAAATATAGACCTATAATTATATTATAGGCCTACCAAAGATTGTTCGTATACAATATGGTTCAATCGGTCCAAAAAATGTCCGTTTTTATATAAAGAAATGCTACAGTTCCAAACAGTTTTTCGCTACAGATATGACGTGTGGCCTATGAAGGGTGCTGCTCTTAAATATAATGTGTTGCGTTCACTCGTGAGCTGTCTAGATCTAGATCTATGGAGAGTTATTGATAACGACACATAGAGCTAGCATCTGCGTTTGTCGAGGCCGCGACCAATCAATCGTGGCTCCATTTTTTGGTCCCCGAAAAAGTCAAAAAAAAAGAAAAGAAAATGAAACTCTTTACTTTTGAAAGAAAGTTCACTTAGCTTCACTTCCTCTCTTTCTCACTTGTTGTCACCACGTTGATTTGCTGAATACGTTACAGTTACATACGATTTGTATTGCTGTTCCTCTTTTATTTTTCGTTTATTTTTCCCTCTTTGTGGTGTTATATTTTGTTGGTGTGTATTTTTTTTTCTTGTTATTGTTCTGATGTGTTGTTTTTCTATTAATTTTTTTTTGTTGGGGAAAAGGGGGGCGGGGGTTGTATAGTGTAACGTCATTTAATTTGATGTTCCTACCTTCATTAGGTTCTAAATATATATACCTGTATAGATTTAAATGTGCTATGTTAGAGCGTTCCACCAAAACCAATTACATGTACTGACACTGGCAGGCCCCTTGTGTGTGGTTCCATAATTTCCATGCAATATCCTGTACTTTTTTTTAACAAATTACGCACATTTAGGGTTAAAACGGTCAATCTTCTTCGGACAGGTGGACACACGCCCTTATTTGTTAATTGTTGTGGTTGTTTCTGGGCTGTTCTAGTTTTGATTTCATTCTGTTGTGAAACTTTTCTTTTTCACGTTTTTACACTCATCTAAAAATCTCTAGACTAGATCTAGATCTAGCTCTTGAAAATTGAAATAAATCTAAAAACCCAAAAATTTGCTCCTTTTTTTTTTTAATGGACGATAACCGTCCACTCAATAGAAAAGAGGGTCAGATTTCTCCGTCTCTCGGGTGCCTCAGGCAGTACCCGCCTCGCTAAACCAGTGGGCACACGGCCGGAGGAGAAGCTGAGAACAGATACCACCTTTGATTTGCTCCTTCCCAGACCTCGCAGAATGACGGAATGAAAGTTGGCGCCGAACTCTCGCAAATAGGCAAACAATCACGACCAGAGCGGAAGCCGGAAACCGTTCGGAGAAATAAAGATCGGCACTATTTCTCCGAACGTTCGGAGAAATAGTCACTTCGTATATATAATCCCAATAGATAGACAGAGATATTCTATATATAATCCCAATAGATAGACAGAGACATATATATAACCCCAATAGATAGACAGAGATATTCTATATATAACCCCAATAGATAGACAGAGATATTCTATATATAACCCCAATAGATAGACAGAGATATTCTATATTCTTCTTCTACACACATGGAATCACTGTGTTGTCCTGCCAGCAATACACACATGGAATCACTGTGTTGTCCTGCCAGCAATACACACATGGAATCACTGTGTTGTCCTGCCGGCAATAGACACATGGAATCACTGTGTTGTCCTGCCAGCAATACACACATGGAATCACTGTGTTGTCCTGCCAGCAATACACACATGGAATCACTGTGTTGTCCTGCCAGCAATAGACAGATCAAGATATTCATTCGTACCAACTGCTGTGAGGCTACTGAACGCTTGTATGGGGAGCCCACTACGGATGGGATTGGCTGATGATCGGGCCGATCGCCCAACTCGGTCGCCTCAACATGTTTGTTTTCAGTTTCAGGCGACCGAGTCGGGCGATCGGCCTAATCCAGCCGTAGTGGGCACCCCGTATTAGTGCTACAAATGAAACACACACACACACACACACACAGAGAGAGAGGGAGAGGGAGAGGGAGAGGGAGAGGGAGAGGGAGAGGGAGAGGGAGAGAGAGAGAGAGAGAGAGAGAGAGAGAGAGAGAGAGAGAAGGTGTCTCAGCACATATTTGTCCTTTCTTTTGTGCATACATATTATGTGTGAGTGTACATGATGCCCTTTGTATCACCACTGCCATTGTAAATGACCAAAACAAATTTTTTCGAGCGAGATCAATAAAGATTGTCATCATGTCACTGTCAAACCAGAGGGACAGCCGAGACACTGGCAGTAAGTGACCGAGGCAGACAAGGACAGAGTCAACCACACGAGGGGACGGGGAGCGTGGGCCCACCAGGCGACATCCAGTGTGCGAGAGACGAGGAGATTACCTGTGTGGGCGTGATGTGAGTGATATCTTCTGACGCTAAAACCTTGAGCAGGGTGGTTTTTCCAGAATTGTCAAGGCCTAGTAAAAGAATTCGTAGTTCAAGGTCAGGATGTGACCTCAACTTTCGTAGCAACGAGAGTAGACCCTGGGTAAGAAAAAAATACAAAGATTACATTAAACGATGATGAATGCAATAAACAGCAGAGTAAGTACAATGACTACAAATTACATTAAAGGAGAAGAAGAAGAAAAAGAAGAAGAAGACGAAGAAGAAGAAGAAGAAGAAGAAGAAGAAGAAGAAGAAGAAAAAGAAGAAGAAGAAGAAGAAGAAGAAGAAGAAGAAGAAGAAGAAGAAGAAGAAGAAGAAGACACACCGAGAGATTAAAAAATCCCTTGGAAAAAAGTAAACGCAACGATTACTATAAATAATCTTGAAGAAAAAGAAGAAAAATAGCTCCGTCAATTCTGACGATCACCAATACATTGGCAGAGGAGACTATTTCACCAGCAAATCTTGAGTTCTAAGAAGAATAAAAAGTTAACATTTACAAGTGGCTCGTGCTGTGGCTGATCAGAGCAGTTCTGCCACAGACAAGTTTGTCACATTTTTGAACGTTTCAAAAAAGCTCCACTTCCCCGTGTGGATGTGCCCAGCTTGACAGCTTCTCTCTTGATTCAAGCATTTTTTTCCTGAATAATAATAAGTGCATGGTATAATAAGTGCATGGTACCAGTAATGCAAAAGTTGCCAGCCGCAAGATGTGAAGTTAAAAGATAAACACATCTTATAAATAGCAGAAAGTGAAAGGAATAAATAATTAATGTATAATATTAAATCTAGGAAGTGCCTATTTGCAACGCCGCGTTGCGATTAGCGCCAGTGCTAAATAAAACGCAGTGTCGCCGTGTGTAAAATATCAAGCTTAATCTGCACATCGTTATCGGAAGTTCTGAAGGCCGAAGTGACAGCGCGCGTCTGCGCTTGAAGTCAAACCATCATTTTTTTAGCGTGGGTTCGATCCCGGTCCTGGACGGTTTTTTGTTTTGTTTGTTTGTTGTTGTCCTCTGTTCGACGGACCAACAAATTGTTCCCATAATTAGATCTTGTTGTTTTGTAGGTTTTTTTTATGTAGTGGTGAAGCATGCACATTCTGGTTTTGTCCCCTAAAGGAGCTCTGTACAAAGTAGGCCTTAGTATAGCCTATACTTTTCCTTTTACCAATTTAGGCCTGGTTCAAGTTCAGCAGTGGCTTTCCTTGGTCTGGGTGTCTCATTTTTTCTTTTTAAAATTTTAGGCACAGGAGAAGGAAAAAAAAAACCCTTTCGGGACCGGAATTCGATGCCACGCTTGGAAGCTCTGAACATTAGACTTAGAGAACGTAGACAGTAGACAGCTTGTATACGTTCTCTAGGCCTAACTTAAAGTTCGAGTTGCACCGTCTTGTTATTGTTATCCGTCCAAGGGTCTTTCGACATAAACTTGCTCAAAACTCAGATGATTATGAGAGAAGAACAAGACGTCTACTTTTGTGCAAACAATGTCAGAAACCATTATTAGATCTAATCTACATCTAGATTTTTCTAGATCTAGATCTAGATCTAGATCTACCCAATATTGATCGGAATAAGACAACGTCATGAAAAAAGGAGTCAAATCCTAGGAGGTTTATCAAAAAACTGAGAAAGCTTCCACAATTCAGGCAGAACTACAATATTATCATGTAGAAACGATATCAGCTACATCTAGATCTAGATCTAGTAGTGGCGTTTCAAATAGCACGGGAGCTATTCAGAACGCGGCGTTGCAAATAGCGCTTGCCTTAAATCTATGGCCGGCACTATTTCTCCGAACGTTCGGGAAAATAAAGCTGGGCACTATTTCTCCGAACACTCTGAAATCTCATCCTTTCCCCCAAATTTCGGATATTATATAGAGATCTATAATTATAGTATGGGCCTACCAAAGACTGTTCGTATACAATATGGTTCAATCGGTCCAAAAAATGTCCGC